GAGCTAGTTTGATTATTAATATGGAATTTAAATCGATAATAATTATTTAAAAAATGATTATTATAGATTGAAAATACAAACTTGAAGTTGAGATTGATTTGTATTTGTATTAATATCAATTTGCATATCAGATTGATTATTAATTGTTGTTAATATATTTGAATCATTATCAATAAATAAACGAAATGAATTTTGAAGAGGTTGATTATAATCATGTTTTGGTGTTTCATAAATACTTGATGTATCAACTTGATCTATTGAATAATTAAAATTATCAAATGTTAATCGACGTTTATGAATTCTATCTGCTTGATTAATATATTCTTCAATTAATTTTCTATCTTGAATAATAAAACGTTTTGTTAATGATGATTGATAAGAATTAATTCGTCGTATTGGATTTATTGAAATTTGTTCTTTATCATAATAATATGTTTGATTATTATAATTATAAATATTTGTTAATGATTTATTTTTAATTGTTGAAAGTGCATTATTTTGTTGAATAGGTAAAGAAATTTTTCTAGATTGTTTATCAATTGATTCAAAACATGTATGAAAACTTTGTGTTGTTGATGATGATAATGATTGTGGTTGAGATGAACGAATTTTAATTATAGATTTATGTGGTGATGAACTATTTGAATTTGAATTTGAACTTTTTTTAAATAAATTTTCAACAACATATAAACTTGAATCATTTTCATTACTTATAGCAATCTTTGGTATACTTATTATTTTCACTTCTAATACATAATAACGTTTGCTTTTTTTATTTTTATTTTTATTTATTTATTTTTGTTACCTTTTATTCGAGCAATTTTATTATCTTGATTAGTTTGTGCTGTTTCATCGACAACTAATTCATGTGGATTAGCTGCTCCTTCAATATCACCTGTAAAAAGTGCTTGACTCTAAAATTGTCAAATATGTATAGATTTATTTATTAATTTAATTCTTCTTACTGTAAATGGATCAACTTTTTCCAGTCTATTTGAAATACTTCCATTATCAGAATTGCTACCCGCTTTCTAATATATTCAATAATTAAATAAATAAAAAATAAAAACATTTTTTTTATTCTTTACTTCTGTTGAAAATCCTTCAACAAGAATGGCAACAAGTAAATTAAATAAAACATAATTTCCAAATGTCATTAATGCTATAAAATACAATGCTGCCCATGCACTTGTGGTTTTCATACCATCGTAAAGTACTTCATTCCATTCTTCTTGAGTTAACACCTATTTTTAATATATTTTTTTTTTTAATTATTCAACTTATTATTATTTCATTATGAAATATATATACGTATAAAAGCAAGCAGACATAACAATGGGTGTATGATGCAAAATTTAAGCGAACTCTGTAGATATATAAAGCGAAGACAGAGGATAAGAGATACAGAGGTCGTGTTCAAAGCGGAGGTTACTCAAAGAAGTCACCCACGATCTTGAAAAATGTTCGTTTTGTATCCAGCAAAGTTCAACCGTTTTATTGTTTGTTTTTGCTTACCAATTCTCAAGAAAAACACTCACACCCTCTAAAATCTGATAAAATTCAGTAAAAACTCTTCTAATCGATGTCCTGAATGGTGACTTCTACTCTCCTCAAACAACGACGAAACACGTCGTCTGAATGGATGGTTATTATTCTTATGAGAGAATGGATACCTGAAAAGCGGTTAATAATGCAAAAGTAATTGAATCAAAATTTTGTCTTTTTTGTATACATTTGAAATCTTTGAGATGAGTATCATTTTTAAAAATATCATTTTCATAACATGTACAACATTGACATTTCATATGAAATTCTTCATGTGATGTTATATTGAATGCTTGTATTGAACAAAATTCACCACCAAATAAATGCATGCCAAGAATACTACGTATATATACGAATTATCAAAAACAATATAGCAAAACAAAACAATAACAAAAGCATTTTCTTTTGTGCATCGAAAACGAAAAAACATCGAAAGCATTGACAATTTTTATGATGGTTTTTTTTCTGTTACGAAAGCATCAACAATAAAATGTTTAGTTTACTTGAAATACAGTTATAATAGCCCATAATAGAGAATCGAAGTTTTTTCTTGAACATTCAACTTCAACATGTTTGCTACGTTTTACTTCGACATTTTTGCAAAATTTGCAACCAAATAGATTCATACCCAATATACTGGAGAAGAAGTTTTGTTTATTTATACACATCATACAGGGTGGTCCAAAAGTAACCTGGCAGTGTTTGATTGCGAATAAATTTTGATAGGAACAAGATGGAGAGCTGTGGTTTTCACCGTTCGAAAGGGAAGATGAAAACGTATCGAATAACATAATATAAGATAATTTCACCTAGTTTTTTCAAGGACTCAAATCGACATTTTTAAAAACCAACGTACTGAGTAAGGTGACTACACTGAATTTTTTATGATCAAATGTGTATTCAAATCGCTAGTCGAAAACCTACAAAATCGTGCAAAGGCCAGAGTTTGAGAGTTACTTGTTGAGAAGTAATAGGTATTCTACTCAAAATTCTGAGCCGATTTTTCTATTCATTTCTCTGAAAAAAATCAGTTTTTTGCATTTTTCTTATTTTATAAGGAAGCATTTTTCCGGCATTTTTTTGGAAAATTGATTAGGAAAAGATCTTAGAAAACTCTATGATATATGATTCGATGCATTTTCATTTCCTCTTTTGAATCGTGAAAACCGCAGCTCTCTATTTTGTTTCTATTAAAAGTTTTTTGCAATCAAACACTATCAGATTACTTTTGGACCAACCTCTATATGGATGTAGCCAGCCGGCCTGAAGTTCTAATGTTTATTTGCCTACGTAGCTTCACTCAGATATCAGAAGAATGTGACTTTTTTTACTAATTATAATTAAGACATACCAAAAGTTTTGAGTACGCTGTTTAAAGAATCTTTTCGGATAAGAGCACCTATTGAGAAATGAAAAAGCAAATATTCGATGTTGTAGTTTTATGAGACACGTCCAATGGTATATAGGAAATCTTGTTTTCATAAGACTTTAAAGGATCTAGAATCAATGTACTGATAGACGACTACATACCCATACCGAAGCATGACAGGTTACTGAAAATTGTGGTCGTTGGTATTAGTCGAAAGTATTTGTAAAATATTTTTTCTCACATACGATTTTGTAGAGTTTTTTACGGGCTACAACTTCCACTATGTGGCATCTCCGGTCATCTTGTCAGTGTGAGTATGGATGCGGGTGTGTAGTCGTCTATCAGTAAATTGACTCCAGATCCTTTAAAGTCTTATGAAAATAGGATTTTCTATATACTATTCAACGCACCTCAAAAAGCTCTACAGCATCGGATAGTTGCTTTTTCATTTCTCAACAGGTCCCCTTATTCGAAAAGATCCTTTGAACACCGTGGCCGGAACTTTTGATATGCCCTAAGTAGTACATATAGACTGCTAATGATCTATTATTGTTTGAACTCTATATTTTACTAAGAATGAGAATTACCGAACGTTTGCTTATGATGATTTCGTTAAAGATTGTTTGTATTTTATTTGTTAATATACACCAGTCTATGCCGATTTATTAATATCATCTCCAGCTAACCTTCCTTTCCTCTTTATTTTGTTCTATTGTTCTTTCCTGTGCTCATCTCTCTTTCTCTCTTGTTCTTTCCTATATAAGCGTGTGTTGTATGTGAAATAGCTAAATAAACATCATTACTGAAGGTGACAGTAAGCTATTCGATCTAGTTTATCGTTACACGGTCCGTACTAAGAAATTTCAATCAACATAAAATATCATTTATAGAGTTTTATTATCAAGTAGTTAATCAGAAAATACAACTTATCATGTTGTTTATTCATGAATGGAATGTTTATTCTAGTACATAATATATAGAGTAGAAGCAACTTGTACGATGTTAGTTATCTTATGAAAATTATCAATAGTTGCTCGGTAAAGACTTCCGAAAATAGCATAAGTTTTGAGATGATTATTGATATTTTCAATATCCACTCTTGCATTATTAATATCACGATTGAAATTCTTGTCTTCATCGGTTAATTCGCGTCCATGGGGGGTTTCGTTCTTGGAGTGGCTACATATTCTTCACCAATATATCCATTGTCAACAATATAGATGCAAACTATCTTTAACGAAATCATCGTAAGAAAACATTTGATAACTCTCATTCTTAGTAAGATATAGAGCTCAAACAATGATAGATCATTAGTACTCTGTATGTACTATAATTAGTAAAAAAATCACATTTTTCTGATATCTGGTTGAAGCTACACAAACAAATAAATATTGGGACTTCAGGTTGGCTGGCCACGCCCATATATATTAATATATTCGTTACTTTTAATAGGCCTACCTGAAGATGAAAATAAATAGAAGTAATAAAGAGAAAAATGTTGCCACATTATCCATAGTTTTAAGCATGACAATCTATAGAAGAAAATCAATTATCTTCATTTATTTAAATTTTTCAGTTTTGTGAAATACGATCTAATAGGAGTTTTGAAGTATATAGGGTAGAATTTTGCATCCACTCTCGCGTCCTCTCTCTTCCGACACCATAACAGACTGTATATAACTAACATTTTGTTAGAATATATGAACTACTTCCTTGTTGCAGTTTTGAAGGATAAAGTACACGATGATGAATAGATGTGTCTCAGAATAGATTGAATAAAAGAATTTTCATGTAATTAGTAGCAACAACTACATCGTGTTTCACATTTGAATCCCATAGGGATTGCACTAACAGCTTTTTAAAGATAATTCAAGAATGATTATAACTATGAAATATATGAATATATGTATTTGTAAGATAGATGATGACTGCTAAAAAGTTATCATCAACCCCCGAAGTTGACGTTAATTTTGTGTTTAACTATCAGAGATTCTATATTGAACATATAGTTATCAAAACTCACTCTCAATGAGTAACTCTCATTCTGTTCTCGACTTCTAACGATTTGGAAAGTTTTTTCAACAAAAAAAGCCAATCAATTTTCATCATATTCACTTCAGTGTTGCAACTAGTAACGGCACACGGTTGGTGAGCGGCCGGTTCAGTAGAGAACCTCAATCTACCGGCAAAAGCGATTTTTCCAGACTGGTTGATAGAGAAATATTTTCTGTTTTTTCACTAATTTTTTGCGTATTTTTGCAAAAATAGATCATAAAAGTGCTTATTTTTGCAAGTTAAACTAGTTTTACTAAGATCCATGAAAAGTTCCAAGAAACAACATCGATTAGAGTGATTATATTAAGTGAATATTCATGAAAATCCACGTCATATATTTTATCCGGATACTATTATTATACTCTACAATCGAAATCAAATGGAAGCACTGTTTGTCAATGTTATCTATGACATATTAACTTCTATTTTGCACTATTTATATTATGCCCTTCCGTTGAAGCAATGGTGTAGAGCTCTATGTGTGTTTTCATTCTACTATCAACATTTGACAAGAGTATGATACTTTGAATCTATTTTATTTAAGACTATATAATACTGAATTCCAAAAAGTTCATAGCTCCTGAATGTTTTAGTAATAATGAAGCAAAGTGAAGCTTTGGATCTTTATTAATAGACAGTCTTCTATGCAGTGAATTGGAACTACTAGGCCTCCGCAATATTGCAATGCTAGGTTCTGTATAGCTGCTAAGAATTTACAAAGGATAGCTTTGATATAATTTCTAAGTAAACTGAAGTATAGAGTCTTTGCTGTACCTTTATAGGCAAGTTTAGTATCTAGTCCACAGACCATGCTCAGAGCGAAAGTTAGCGTGTCAGTCGAGTCAGTTAGGTTAAGATAGGTTCAAGATTCTTGTCGCGTTCCTCAGTGTATATTGACAATCATGCTTCAGAAATGCTCTTTCAATGATGAAGCAGAAGTCCTAGGTAATTAGTGTAGTGTTTTCAGTGTAAGCTATGACTCATATAAGATGAGAAAAGTCAACGATAACTCATGCCGGTGTGACCGGTTTACACCGGTACCGCTACCCGTCTAGAGAAAACCCTACTGGTTGCAACACTGATTCGCTTACGTTTTAGGTTAACGAGTTTCTAACAATAACTAGGATTTATTTTTTTAATATTTTTCTATAAATCCGGTTATATATGTCATATCATAAACAGAGAAAGAACTATGCTACAGGCAGATAACTAGCTGAGGATAAGAATAACAATTAATACAGGCGATCATCTGAATATGAGAGTTTACTTATGACAATGATTGTTCTCTTTTAATATCATTAATGATGTGTTATATATAATGAATAGATAAATATCGGCAGCCGAAAAACAAAAATGTTTAATAAATGAGTTTAAAAAATAAATTCTTACTAATTGTCGTCTAAGTGTTGGCATAAATCTGACAAGTTTAAGTACACGTAATAATCTAAAGGTACGTAAAACAGATAGACCACTATTTTTATTTCCTTGTAATTCAATAAGACTCATAATAACAATACCACTATCAAATAAATTATAAGCATTTTTAATATATTCAAGACAACCATCAGCAATTATTTTTAAAATCATTTCAATAGCAAATAATGTTGTAAATACTAAATTACTATATTCTAATGCATTTGTTAATGATGGAGGTTGTCCATGATATTCAATACCCATTGATAATGTATTTATAACAATAGCTGATAATACAATACGACGAAAATATTTACTTCCAACAAAATTTGATATAAATTTTTGTAATTTTATCATATGAGACCATATATATTTATCGAAATATTTTGATATTTTAGATTTTTCTTTTATTACATTTTCATCATTATCTTCTTCAACTTCGTCTTCATCTTCATCTTCATTTTCAACTTCAACTTCATCTTCATCTTCATCTTCATCTTCATTGATAGTTAATTTATCATTTGGAATAGTTTGATGATAACAATCAGATTGTTTAATTGATATATTATTTAATAAAATCGATGGAATTGAAGTATTATCATGATCATGATTAAATGATGACAAATGTTGAATTGTATCAATAATATCAAAATGAGGATTGGGTGTATGGATTGAATCTAATATATCAGATTGTTCAGGACTAGCAGCTGGTGCATCAGCTATAGATGGACATAATGATGCTGCTGTTCGATTAGATAAACTATCTCTAATTTGATGATATTGATTGTTTGATTTATCATTTAGATTTATGTTCGGTGATGATAAACAATTTGATATTGAATCTCGATTTAAATGAATTTCAATTGCTGATGATTTATTGTTTATATTTTCTTTTCGACGACGTTTTTTTTTATTTACCTAGTTACAAATATATATATATTCATTTTAATAAGACGTTACACAGTTATTGAAGTTATAATATAGACCGATTCTTTTTTTAACATATAGAACGCAATGATTATTTCATTTCTTATCAAACTATGGAATAGGAAATTGTTAAGTGGTCCCGATGAGATCGGAACCGGGACTTAAAACTGGTTCCGTTATACATTCTGATTAAGAACTAGACTATATTTTCATAGTTATTATTTTATTCTGATTAATGATCTACAAATTGACCCTTTTTATCTATGATTAAGATAAAATTATGGATCTGCAAAACCAGTTTTTTTCGATCCTGAATTGAAACTACCTTGGAGATCCCTACTAAAAATAGTGCTCATAGACCTGGAGACCCTAAATATTCATATTATCAAAGTGACTCTTGAGGAAACACTGATTTTTTCATTTCGAAATCCGAATCCGACTTCGAAAAATTTCTTTTCTACGACTCCGATCCTAAAAATTTTCATCTTCTAACTCTAATTCCAACTGCTAGAAACTCCCAAATTTATATTCTTAAAAAAAAAATACGTTTTTTTTTTAACCAATTTTTCTGCTCAGGATGTTCTTTGTCTAAACAACGAAGAATTGGTAATGTAGACAGCTGCGATACTTTGAACGATATTAATACTTTTATGTATTAATGTCGTTACGTTTTCATTTTTAATTATATAAAAAGATTGTATGAGTTCAAATTCTTTTTTTCTTTATTATCAAGTCATCCTAGTCTCGAAATAGTCTAAATATACTTCTAACAGTGTTTAATAACATTGATTAATCTTACATTAGTACGATTTCGTCGATAATTATTCCATAAAGTAGAAAGTTTATTGTATGCATGTTTATATAAACGTTCAATAAATTTAATTGTTTCTTGCCAACAAGAACCTGGTTCATCATTTAATAATATACTTGATGAACGTGAAAAACGTCTTCGTTCATTTAACATTCTTTCTGTTTCACGTTTTTTTGTTTCACTAAATTGTGTTGCTATAACAACAAGACATAAATTAATCATAAAAAATGAACCAATTATAATAAGACAAACAAAATAAATCCAATCCCAAAATGAATGAGCATCTTGAATATAATACATTATATTAACCCAACTTTCAAGACTAATTATCTAAACAAATAAAATAAAATAAAATAAAAAGAATATTTGAAAAAAGAAAATACTTGAAAAATAACAACCCATGCTAAACCAATATTATCAAAACTAATTGCACCAGAATATGGATTTTTATCTGAAACATTACAAAATTGATAATATTGATTCCAATTAATACAAGCATTTATTGGTTTATTTGGATTTCTTAATAATTCTTGATTATTTTTATCAAAATCAAGTTCACATGTTAAATTTCCTTTTCGTGATTTTGGAATATCGGAACATTTTGTCATTCCATTTGATTGAGGCTGAGAACAAACAAATGAATCGCCTTGAGGTGGAATATAAAAAGATCGTAAATCAGAATCCCTTTTTTCAAATAAATAAAAATAAATAATTAGATAGTTTTTATTATAATTATTATTCATACTCAAATAAAGTGTAATCAGATATAAGTGTTGTATTTAATTGTAAAAAACAACGATTACGTAATAAACCTTTCCATAATTGAACACCAACAATACCAAATATAAAGAAGACAAAAAAACAAAGAAGTAAAACATTTCCAAGCATTGGTAATGTATCAAGTAATAACATGACAAGTATACGCATTGATGGTACACGATTTATTGCACGTAATGGACGAAGAACTCGAATTGCACGTATCGCTGATAAACTTAATATATCACCTGGAATTACTGCTTCTATTAATCTAAATATTAACAAATATATTCGATTTACTTTTCTTTTTTCTCGAGTTTTATTTCAATATCACTATTTACAATTTATTCGAAAATTGTACATCAACTTTTTTTTTTATCAATTATAGATTCATAGATATAATTCTATTCAATCTTCAATAAGGAATATATAGAAGACGAAATATATATACCAATATAGATCTACGACATCTCGAACTTATTAATCATACTAAAACAAAATTCTTTCTAGTTGTTCAATCATAACATTATTGCAATTAGGGAACTGCGGATTCAGAGAAATGTTTAACCGGTAGTGTCCTGAAACCCAACTCGATCCTGAGCATGGATCCAAGTACAAACAGGAATTCTTCTATTTCTGTTTACGCCAGAAACTAAACAGTATACTTTTTTCATACTAAGTAAATGTTTGAAAGTTGTACTAGGACTGTGAAAGTAATTATTTGGTGAATGCCGATTAGCACTGGGTTGGGTCCGGTTATAAAAAAAGAGCGCCGGATCGGGTTCGAGTGCAAAAAGTCGTACCCGTGCAAGACACTACTAACCGAACCTAACAAAAAATAAAAGGTTGAACTCGGATCCGAAAAAAATAAAATTATGGATCTGGATCCGGGTCTGGAAGGCATAGATGAAACCGATCTAAACCGGTCTACCGGTAAGAACAAGGGAGAAGTACAGGCACCATGCACCAAATTATTCTCAAAGGTGCTGAAAAGGTACTGAGGTGCTGATACATATTTCGGATTAGACTGTATATTAAGGTGATAGTCATGAGTGAGCGTGATACTATCTCAACTCGATTTTTTCAACCAAGACAAGGCTATTTTTCAAAGATAACGATATTTTATAAAACTCGACTAAAGGTTTTTGGGGTGAAGAAATTCGAATCCATTATCAGTTTTTCGAATTTTGAGTTTAAGTTTTTTCAAAAAAAGTTTTTACTAACAAATTCATTTTTTTCTAAAAAATTATTTTTTGTTAAAAAACATTTTTCCGCAAAAAAGAGTAGTTTTCTAACCAAAAAATATTTCTTTTACCAAAAATATCATTTTTTAGCAGAAAAATAGGTTTCTTACCAAGAAAATAGTCTTTTGCAAAAAATTCTTTTTCGCCAAAAAAAAATGGTTTTTTCACAAAAAAAATAATTTTTTAGCAAAATATAATTTTTGTAAAAAAATTAAACTCAAAATTTCGAAAACAGATTTGAACTCCTCGACCTCGATTATCTTTGGTAAAACTTTATAAAAAATCAATTTTTTCTTAAAAAAGCCTTTCTTTGGTGAAAAAATAAAGTACACAAGTTTTAGAAACATAGACCAACTGCACCGATTTGAACTGGTAAGATGTGCTTGGACCGGTTGACTGGTACCGGCTCCATCTCTGCTAGAAGGACTAGCAGCTCCCTTATTGCAATAGTAAAACATGTTTATCTTAATCAGATCTGTTAAACAGTTCTATGGTTAACACTTTATTTTCGATTGTCTACTAGTGTCGATATTGGAAGAAGCATTGTTGAAAAACAAAACTTCTACCTTGTTATTCACAAGAAACTCAATGTTGTTCTTACGAATTATGACTTGTTTAAAAAATCTAATTTTATTTGATTAATCGATCTATGAAAAATGTAAGACACATGAAATCGATCAGTTTTGAAGAATAAAATTTTCCTTTAAAATCTTTTCTATTTGCAAGTAAAATAGATCTCGAAGACATTTTATGTATGTAACATATTGATAAAAATGTATCCTTAGGAAATGAAATACATTTTATAAGTTTCGAAAAAAAAAGATGTTAACCTATGAAATCAAGCCTGGAGCAATGATCGGTAGGTAAAAGGAAAAACTAACATATATAATGCATATTCTTTGTCAATATTATCACATAAGAAGTTAAATAAAATATTTATCATCGATAAAATGTCTTCATTGATTATTCAAAAACACAGCGACTAATGAGATTTGCTAAAAGAATCGTGCGTAAAGTGCATATGCTCTGAGAATATTTTTTTTCTTCTATCATATAGGTCAAATCAAAAAATAGAAAGAACATTCAACTCTTATCTATTGAAAATTATTCAGCATAGATCCTCTATTACCGTTAACTGGCCAGATGTTTCATAATAGAATCTATTTTTGCATATATGCAGTATCTTCAACAAGTTAATATGCAATAAGTTACGTACATTATTTATAAAAGAATGTTTGTTAGAAATTAATTTAATTAATTTTCTCTTTTATAACATATTTTCAGTTATTTGCTTGATTAGACTAAATTTATTATTTTACTTTAAAATAGTTTTCTTTTCTTTCATTTCACTTCAATACATTCTCGTTCATTTTACTTATACAATAAATATATTCAACTAGTTTACGTTAACAGTTCTTAACAAACAAAAAAAAAATTTCTGTCATTTCCAGTCATAGTTTGTTATCATCGTAACCAAAAAATAAAACTGAGTCACGCCGAGATCTATTCGAAATAGAAATATTTTCGATGTCAATAATACATTATCATTTAATAGATTAACTTATTTTGATCGTAATTATAATTTTTAAACAAGAGAATAAAATCTATGTTTTAAATAATTTAACATAAAAGTAAATGTCTAACATGAATATTAATCGAATACTTTTCGAAATCTTATTTCATTATTGAAATTGTCATAGTCGAATCTATATTTATTGAAATTATAAAAAGAACTTTTGTGAAAGACTTATTGATGTAAGAAAAGTATATATAATAGAATTACTTTTGATGACAAAATTTTAATTATTAATGAGAAAAAGAACTTAAAGTTATTTGTAGTTTATATTATAAAAGATGTCTATAAAATGTCTATAAAGAATGATATGAAATTTTCATTAGAAAAAAACAAATTAATTTTTATTCTTAATAAATCGTTTCGAGGCAATGTGGTTCACTGGTAGAGCACACACTATATTTTAAAGCCAACGGGTAATCCAGACTTTGCATTTCATATATTAACCTCTAAAGAGGTTTTATTAAAAAAGCAGCATATATTAGATTTTAATAAATTCTAATAATTACTTATTTAATATAACGAAACAAGGAAAGATATTTTAAATCCCATAAGAAATATGTGCAAATTAATTGATAAGCATCACGTATAGAAGTGTCACGAGCGGTGAGAACCTTGATAGGGATGGCAAAACAATCTTGAAAAATTCAGAGTTTTTCAATCGTTATTAATTTCTGTGACTTGAATATTTCAATCAATAAGTGTAGATTTTTGTATGTGTAATTGATGAAATAAAATAGTAAAAAAAGAAAAAAAAAAAGTTCATACCCAGAAAGAACAATAAAACAATCCAATCTATTCCATGTATCAGCTAAATAAGTTCGTTTACCAATTATTCCCATAGCTGTCATTTTAATAGACATTTCAAGAGTAAAAAAAGCAAAAATAAAATAATCAGTTGCTTGTAACCAAATACAACGTGGTGTATCACATTTTTTTGGTGATTGTGAATTGTCAAAATGTTGACATGGTTGATACATTCCAAGTGTTATACAATTAAGTAATATAACAAACATACTTATACGTTCAAACCATGGCCATGTTATTATTTGTAAACATTGATAACGAGGTGTTTGACTTTGTTTAAGACAAAAAAAAACAGTTTCAACAAAACCAGGAAATGGTAATTCATTTTCATCTGTTTCTTCAAGATTCCGTGAACCTTGTATATCAGTTAAAACATGCGTTGATGCATGTTCATTTAATATATGATCTTTTTCATTGAAATTTTTATTATCATTTCCGATTGGTATTATTGTTGATGATAATGGATAATTTAAATTTGTTTTATTATTAATTATTGTTGTCAAATAATTCTTATCCATGATCGAGTAATAATTCATGATGCATCATCACAATTCAATAAAAAAAAAGTGTCAATGACAAATAGATACCTACCTATTATTTTATTTTATATTATTAAGACATACGTCAAATTTATAATAGATAATTAAACAATTATATTAACCAATAATCTATTTTTCATTTTAGAATATTTATCGATCTGAAATAAAATAAAAAAAAAACGATATTACATAGATAGATTTTTCAAAGAAATAAATGTCATTATTTTATTTTTTTATTAGAAAATAACATAAAAACTCTCTTGGGAAAAGTTACAATTTGTCGGACAATTTTCCCTGATCAATATGTTGTTAATGATGGTAACAGACAATGCAAACAGAAATATATATATATATATATTTTTTTTTTCTTTTCTTTTTCAAACAAAGTGAATATTCCAAAAAGAAAAAATTGTGTTTTTCTTAACTGTTATGCTGTCGATTAAGCTGAGCAACCAAAATGAAGAACAAGAAAAGAAAAAAAAAGAAATATTTTTTTTTTTTTTTTGATTATTTCACTACAGAAATAACAGAAATGCTTTACTTTAACAAATGTTTTTTTCTTAATATATAAAAAGGCTAAATGTATCTTGGATTTCACTTCTCGACATACTTATTATATATATTTATTTATTTATATTCTCTTAGTCTCATCTGATCAACGTTTTTTATATAACTCAACAGAAAAAAAAACCCCCAAGACAATTACAGAAAATAGAACGACTTTGACAAAAATTCATATAGTTTATCTTAACAATAAAACAAATAAATGTTAAACATGTTAGTACATTTTGCTTTTTTTTTACTGATGTTACAATGTATAGAAAAAATATTCAATGTTTCTTTGTATAAATAATAATCGAAAGATATTGAAATGGTAAATATCATGTTATAATTAACTCTTTCACAACGATTCAATTTTTCTAGAAAAGTAACCGGTGACTTAGAATAAATAGTCGCACTTCCACATCTGATATATTAATCTCTAAATATATTTTATTATAAAAGAAAATCTATTATAAAATGCAGGGTGAAAAGCTCTACAGTCTTCATAGTAAAAGTTTTACACAATTAAAATAAATTTTACTATAAAGATTGTAGAGCTTTTCACAATGCATCTTATATTTTTAATAAAACATGTTCAGAGGTTAAAATATGAAATACAAAGTGTGGGTGACCCGTTGGGTTTAAAATATAGTGTGTCCTATCGGTGGGCAACGTCGCCGCGAAATGATTAATATCCTAATAAGAGTAACAAATAACTAACTGGTATATAGTATTGATGTTAATGTAATTAATAACTAACTCAAAGGCATACGGACAATGTGAGAATAATAGAAAAAAAAAAAGTGAAAGCTAACATTTTTTTTTCTTATTTAACAAATTAATAATTTTGAATGAAATAAAGAAATGAAGTAGAATATAATTTATTTGATAATATCATAAAGCGAAAATAACAATGAAGTAAATGATAATCAATGAGACAAATCTTATTCAATAGAGAATTATTTAAAGATGTTTATATCTAACAACTGGGTGAACTTAGTTCATCAATGAGTAAGATAGAGACTCTATGATGAAATCTATGAAAGAGATATAAAATATGTTTATGTTCTTTACTATTAAGATCTAACATAATAGAATTATAAGTAAGGCATTTTCTGATCTGACCATCGAATTCGATTTATTTTCTGTCATCATTCATTAGAGCAGATCGAGCCAAATGATGAACAAATCGATTTTTGTTTTTTTGGAAAGCGTTGAGAAGACAAGAAAAAAAAAATAACGAAATATATAATTTTTGATTAGTCGAACGTTTTTATTTTTCTGTATCGTTGAGAATAATAAATATATTTTTTCGACTATTAAATAATTAAGAAAAATGATGACGACTAAGACACTTGCTTGAAAAAAAAAGGCATGCAATGCGATAAACTTATTAAAATGACGGATTTCCTATTGTTTTGCCTGATAGATAAGACCTTCTAGTTCATATTCGTGTCTAAAATAAAATTAACTATTTGTCATGTCGACAACGAATACACACAAGACTAACATTCAACAATGACACAATTGTCAATTTTCTCATCAATATAATAACATATTTGTTTTTTCTTCTTGTTTAGATTTTTCTAAAGATAAATAAAAAGAGAACTTATCTTACCTGAAGAATATGTTGATTTTCTATTCTCTATTTTACATAAGCTTATATTCTTCTAGTAGACATTTTTTTTTTCTTCTTCTTCTTAGAAAGTTGCTATTATTGAAACTACTTCAGAACCTTCATTCACTGCTTTCGTGAGTTTTTCTTCTTCTTCTTCTTCTTCTTCTTCTTCTTTTTCTTTTTCTTTTTCTTTTTCATCATCATCTCACAGTCTGGCTATAGCATGTTTGGTGGCTTGTCGTTCAGTCATTCAAAAAAAGGAAATTAATTATTATGTTCTCGCTTTCTTTCTTTGTCTAGTTTTCCTACATTTACGTCTCTCTTTCTTTTCTCATCGTTTTACGTTCATATTAATAAAATACTATTTCACCTTGTTGATCTACCTGCAGACTTATCTTCTAGTTTTTTTTTTCTATTTTTTGTTTATTTCCACCTCAATAATTCAATAATACTATGTAAATTCATACATCTTTATCTATGCATATACATATTAAAAGCTTATCAATAAAAAATAGAAATTATTAATAACATTTTCATTTTATCTATTTCTATTTGTTTTCATCTAGACTTACTCAAGAGAATATCGTCATTATTATCACTATCGTCACTTCATTCTCTATATGAATATAATATATTGATAGAAAAAGACACTAGTCTATTCTTCAAATATAGGATACAAATTAAAGATCAAATAAATAATAATAGAGAGATTTAAATAAATAAAATATATTCCTATTATCAATATAACGATCTATCATAGATTTGTCACAAGAATGAAGCGAGCCGAGACTGAAATGTCTTTGTGTCCCTATTTGTTCTAAACATATGTTGTATCGATAATCTACTTGCATGATACCACTATTATCGCGTCGATTCATCAAATTTACATCTCTCTAATCAAAATGATCACGATTCTCCTACGCACAAGAGACTATAATAGAAAAACCTCAAGACAATATTATTAACCAAAAGAAAAAAGAAAAGAAAAGAAAAGAAAAGAAACAAAAAGAGAAGGAGATCGCAAAAAGATCTCATCAAATCGAAACAAACATGACATACACACTGACACCCAGCCGAGTTCGCTAACAATAACAACAACAACAACAACAACAACAACATTAGAATGGTTTCTTATAAGCATCTGTGAATGATTGGAAATGACAGCGAATATAGACAAATAACAGAGTATAAGCATTAGAATATTCACTGACATTTTAACTATTGATATTAAAGACCAACAGAAAAAGTATTTCGAAATATTTTCATTTGACACAATGTCTTCAATAGATTTATTCACTTCTATACCATATTTATTTACCTTATAGAATAGAAATTTATTTTATATCTATAAACTATTCAAATAAACAAATAAATTGGTCAACTATTTAATAATCATATTCTAAGAACAAAAACTAAAATAAACATCATTGATTGACGATTGACAATGATCATGTAATGTCATACTTATATGAATATGCTTTTGGAAAAACGAAGAATGTTAATGTCTCTTGACATTATTGTCTGATGAATCGATGATTGAAGAAAAAGTGGATAAAAAAAATACATGACATACAAAAACAAAAACTACGACATTTATGATGATTAGTATCTATTATATGTAACTAATAATGACATATACGGTGAAGAATTGATTATTCAGATGTGCAAAACATTGAGAAAACATTTTTTGTTTACAAAAAATATGAAAAACTATAAATCAATAAATTTAATATACCAATAAAGATATATTCATCTTCATTACATAAGTCTTATTATATATTATTATCGGAAAGAAAATAAGATTAAAAGAGAAATATTCTCGAAATTATCTTAATTGACATTATTGGTATTAATTTAACTGTAAATTGATATCAATATATAATCAAAATCAATTATTATTCTGTAAAAACTAACAAAATACTTTAGAAATTTTTATATTTATTCAATATTCTCTTGACACTTGTCATATTCATGGAAGATTTCCTTAAGCTAAAACATAAAATTTGTTGCCTTTTTTTTTTAAATAATTAATACTAAAGTGACAGTTTAGGAATTAGTTCCAATCTAATGGACTGTTGATAAGTACTTTTCATAGAAATTTATCTATGTGTATGATTTCATTGACAAGAAACTAATCTTTGAAAAGAATTTGTTTCGAGTATTAGAATAAAAATGATTCGATTTCGAGAATATGAATTATAGATCAGTTTTTATGAAAAGAATTTTTCCATTATTTTTTAGTTTATTTATATTTGAATTTTCGAGATGGATCTACTCTAGACATAACAATAAATACTGAATATAATAAATCTTGCTTTTTTTTCTATGTAGTATAATTTGTTCTTTTCATTGATATATTAGTGACTTTTAATTAAAATAAAGTAGTATTCTCTTCAAATGTCTAATACCAACAGAAGAATTATCAAAATTGGATCGAATTGATTATAGTTATTATGAGAAAGTAATATATAATAACAAAACAGATACTCGCAAATTATAGATTTATTGTAAGCGTTAAAAGCATGTAAAGAATTGAAGTCATTTCATTATGAAAAAAAACCAAACAGATTCAATAATGTTCAAAAAAATCATTTGATAACAATTGTTTATATCATATTGAACAAAGTTTTCCTTCGAAAAATGTAACCAACTTTTCAAAATCAAATTGTTTAACAATCAATTTTTAATTCAATAATAATTAACAATGAATAAAAATCTTTATCAGTCGTTGTTATAAGTCTTTTTTTTCTATGGTGCGAAGATTATTGCATGAAT